TGTGGAGGCAAGTTTACGTGGGGAGAAAACATTTGGATGTTCTCAAGATACTAGTGGGGATTGGTGTCTTCTTCAACATCTCCGTGGTTGTTGCCTTCTTGATCAAGTACAACGTGGGGCATGCGGCATATTAAGAGAGAGGAAGATTATTGATGCCATCCGCTGTTTCTTCAGGTGCTTATTATTTGGAGTTTTTCACTGATAATTGTAAATCCCCATTGTATGTCATGTATAAATTTTATATTGTGCCAAGACATGTGGGTTTTTCTCTAAACATATAGAAGAAAAGCTTGCTATTTTCTGCATTTGTTGTTCAATGTCTCTGATTAATTTATTTTCTAATATTATCCCTTCAAGAATATTTGTCTTCGTTTTTCCTAACATACATCTCATGTATCTACCCTGTCATGGTTCCCAATGTAGAGCTTCATCAGGTGAAGGATCTTGGAAGGCTTTACACAGCTTGTCTAAAGAAGCAGGATTTTCACCTGCCACAACGGGTGAGCTCCTCAATTGTTCTTCCCTGGTTACTCGGCAGTTCGCATATTATTTCGAAAACCAGGCTTTATGTCTTGCAAATTTATTTTTCCCCCTTTGACCCTCTGTTTGGTTGTAGCAGGTCCCAGTATTTCAGATGGTTCTATGTCTTGTGCGACATGGAAACTTCAGTACTACGAATGGGCTATGCAAATTTTTGAACGGTACAATATAAGTGAAGGAGCTTGTCAGTTTGCCTATGCAGCCCTTGAGCAAGTAGATGAGGCCTATGATTTCATAGAGAGGACTGAGGAATTCGATCTAACTAAAGCAGCCACCGACACTAGAGGACGACTGTGGGCAAATGTTTTCAAGTTCACCTTAGATCTGAATCTCTTGAACGACGCGTACTGTGCTATAATTTCAAACCCTGATGAGGAGATTAAGCGCATCTGTTTGAGGCGCTTCATAATAGTTCTATTTGAATGTGGCAAAACAAAGGTAAAGGTCAAGAATGCTTTTCTTCTCATATTTTAGTTTTTCCTTATATGCTTTTGGCGAATGGGGACCAATACCCCAAAAAGCCTTTTACTCTATATTGTCTGGTGCCACAAGAACATTTCAAAGATCATTATCACCATAAACCGTATATTTGAGTGCAATTTCGCTTTGTTTTTAGGTGTATGCTTGTCTGCAGCTAAAAATGATTTTGCTATTGTGGTTACTGTCTTAAATGCTGAGGACAAAGATTTTGTACTACCATGACTTTAAAAAGCAAATTACCATGAATAATTCTCTTTTGATTTCAGATCCTCAGTGATGGACATCTACCTTTCATCGGTCTAACAGAGAAGATCACCCAAGAGCTTTTCTGGAAGGTATTTTGTGGAAAGCTGAGTCGGTTTGTTTCTGCCCTTGGTATATTTCTACTATTGTTTCTTACATTCTCTACGATTTGTAGGCTGGACGTTCTGAAATAATGATGAAGCCAAATCCATACAAGCTGCTTTATGCGTATGAGATGAGACGACACAATTGGCGAATGGCGGCAAGTTACATGTATCAGTTTTCTGCCCGTTTGAGAAGCGAGGCAGCATGCAAGGATTACAAACACATGTCCCTAGTTTTGCAAGAGAGGCTTAATGGACTTTCTGCTGCTATTAATGCATTAGCCCTTGTTCATCCTGGGTATGCTTGGATTGATCCAGTACCAGAAGAATCCTCACGTTATCCGGTTAAAAAGGCTAGAAGAGCAGAAGAAGAACAGTGTTAGTCCTCACGACTACATATTGTACTTGTTTTTTCTTACCGATATTGAAATTTTACGTTATTGTACTAACTACAATCTCTACATCCTGAAGCATCATTCTGTTTTATTGTTGAACTATCACATGAATAACGACATTTTGAAACACCTTTCCTGCAGTAAGGAGTAATGACAAAGGGGAGCAGAGTTGCATTGATATCGAGAAACTCCAAAATGAGTTTGTTTTTACTACTGCTGAATATATGCTTTCTCTGAAAAATTTCGGGTGGACATATTCAGGTACATTGTCTCCTATTTCCTCCATGGTCTGTTTTGATTTTACAGTATACGGGCTGTTGGAACTATGAATAATCGGTGCTTTAGAACTAGTTAAAAGGCTTCTGCAATTGTAGTTTACAGAAAATTGCCGAGTATGTTCACCCCAAATTTGATGTGAGGAAATTAAAGAGCTTGATCTATTGTCACTGTTTGAAGGATTAAATATTGACAGTCTCCCTGTTTTATGAGATAGCTTTTGTGTATCATTGATTTAGCTACTGGATGGACCTGTCCTCCTTGACAGACTACTTAGTTGGCATGACTGTGTTATATGCAATTTACCTAAGGCATAATTAAATTTCAGAAGGGTATCAGATACCCTGCTGATTGTTTTAAGGCATCTCATGACTCATACAATCATTTCTATATATATGAATTGCTTTCTTCACTACAGGACTCGAAAAGCCACCATCGGATTTGGTTGACCTTCTTGTCCAGGCAAACTTGTATGACATGGCATTCACTGTTGTTTTAAAATTTTGGAGTGGCTCCGCTTTGAAAAGGTAAATTTCTTTTAGGTAACTATTTTCTGAAGTCATATTCCTCGAGAATTACGTAGGTTTAAGAATTATTGTTTTTTTCTCAGGGAGCTGGAGAAGATATTTGAGAATATGGCAATTAAATGTTGCCCTGCTAAAGGAGCGCTGTGGACATCGTGAGTAACTGTTCCTTAGTTGCTTGGTATTTCATTGATTACTTGTTGACTTGCCTGACATAGCTTTATTTATCTTACAGAAATGATCTCAGGCCTAATCTTATGTTAACATCTAACGATGAAGAAGTTACTCATTCGCCTGATAGAAGCCCTGCTGTTCAGGGCTCTAAGTTGGCTGGTGACTGGGAAATTCTTGAGGTTTACCTGGTTAGTAACTTCCGAATACTTGATTGGAAATTTAGTTTTTGTTTTCAATTGGTAGCTAGTTTTTTACTACTCTGGATTTTGGGAGCATTGAAAAGTGTTGGAATGTCTTCGTGAGCAGTTTTGATCCAGAAATATGTCCTTACTTGGTGTGATTTTAAATGGTTATAAATTATGATGTACCAAGAATGCATCCTGAGTTATAGTCATATCTTTTTATTAATAGTATTTTGCTCACTGAAACCAGAGCAGCATCCCCTCATTTTTCACTATTCTTGTAAACGAGGACTGCTTGCATTGTCACTATCCTTTACTAGGAGTGTAATTGGTTAGCTCAAGTGTGCCTGAAAATTTGTAATTGATGCTTAGGCTCTAGGGAGTTCAGAGATCTTCCTTTACTGGGAGTGTAATTGTAACCTAAGTTGAGGATATGTGCTATGTTGCTTGAGGGCTTGACCCAGGTTTTTCATTATTTGTTCCTTGAAATAATTTGTGTATTGGATATGGATAAATGCAGAAGAGGTACATAGACATACACGCTAGACTACCGGTTTCTGTTGCTTCAACCCTTCTTCAAGCAGATTCTTGTATCGAATTGCCTCTCTGGCTGGTTCAAATGTTCAAGGTAATATTTTGGATAGATGTTATGATAGTCTTACTGGATCATTTTTTAGTATGCAATATATAGTTCAATTCATTTAGGTAGCTTTGAACTCTTGGCATGAAACTTTGAATTTTGTTTTGCTGCATCCTGGATCTAAATAATTAACATGCGTGAACAATGTTGCATTAGTAAGCCCTTCGATTCACTATTAATATATCTGAGATGCAGATTCTAGAGTAGATTTATGTGTTGTTGTTGTTGATGTATATAATGTTAGTTCATTACAGTGTCAGAGATGTTTGGCACAGCATGTCTGCTTAGTGTTGAAGAGATTGTATCTAATATCTCAATGGAATTATTGTTGTTCACATGTTCCTTTTCATTTACACGATGGAAAGAAGCAATGATTTGTAAGGCTGTTCTCTTCTGGTTTCATTCAAGTCTTCTCTTGATCAGTTTCTTGTGCCTTGGCCAGGACGGTCAGAAGGAAAAAGCTTTGGGAATGGCTGGGAAAGAAGCAAGTCCTGCTTCCTTGTTTCAGTTATATGTTGATTATGGGCGTCTGACAGAGGCCACTAATTTGCTACTGGAGTACATGGAAGCATTTGCATCATCGGTGAGTTTTCTCCATATTAGGATTTGTAGGTTCGCAAGGGTTTTACAGCTTCTCATGGTCGAATTGAATATAATATAACAAAACATAGAGAAGGTTTAAGTTGCAAGATTCTCTCACAAAACAGTAAAACAAAAAAGGTTGCAGATTATACCATTAAGAAACATTGGACTAAGCATATGAGTTTGCATTTACATTGACATGTTGTTGTTAACAAGAGACTGATGAATTCATATGTTAGGACTGAATAAGCTTGGTTTCTCTCTTGTTAAAAACAGAAACCAGCAGAGGTATTGAAGAGGAAAAAGGTATCAGGAGTTTGGTTTCCGTACACAACAGTAGAAAGACTATGGTGGGAGCTAGAGAAAACGATGAACTCAGGACGGATGTTGGAGCAATGCCAGAAGCTGAAGGAACAACTCCATCAGGCGTTACTGAATCACTTAAAGCTGGTATGGTACATAATGGCGCTAATCAGTGGAAATGCAAATTTTGTGTTTGGATCAGTGTAAGAAGTGAAATTCATGTTTGGTTTGTCTTTGTTTCAGCTAAAGGTGGACTCAAATGATGCTGTGTCGTCTGCTACAGGTTAAAGAAAGTCTTGTTTGATCCGTGTGAATATTATAATCTGTATGAAAAATCGTATCAGGCTTTTTGCTTTCGTTGTCAACACAAATCCTTGTTATAACTCGAAAAAATTGAAAGCCAAATTCTCTTAACCAAATCCAACCGGTTATTTGATATTTTAAATATTGGATTAGACCAAACCAAATATACTCGTCGATACCAAACCAAATTGAGCTAGAAAATTCGTAATTATTATTGTGGCAAATAAAATTGAATTCAAAACTAAAATCAAAATGTCAAGTGAGGCAATTTGTTAAAACAAGTGAGAGAGTAAGAGCAGCAACAATGGAGAAATTGAAATCGCTGATTCCTGAAGATCTTCTTCAAACGGTGAAATCCAGCAGTGTCGATGATCTTCTCACCTCTACTTCTTCTCTTCTCCGTTTGCTTCTGGGTCTTCCTCAATTTCACCAAGTTCGTACAATTTACCCAAAACCTACTCTTCTTCTCTGTGTTCCTATCTTTCAATCGGAGTTGTTCTCATAGCTCTCCTTTATCTCGGTCTAACTGTTTCAGGCGGTGAGTGAGTTAGCGGATCCTGAATTGGGTTGCTGTGGGAAGAACGAGGAGACCTCTCTGGACTTGAAACGTAGAGGAAATCTCTGTTTTCGCAGCCGAGATTTTGTCGATGCTTTGCGTTTCTACTCTAAGGCTTTACGTGTTGCTCCTCCAGACGCTATTGATGGAGATAAGAGCTTACTTGCTTCTCTGTTTCTGAATAGAGCTAATGTCCTTCATGTATTTAACCTTTCCTTTTACCCAGTTTCATCATTGAATCAATTTCTAAGCTTTTTTCACTTTGTAGCTTCTCATGTATGTTCTGTATCTTGTCTTAGAATCTTGGACTTCTCAAAGAGAGCTTGCGGGACTGCCATCGTGCTCTTCGGATTGATCCTTGTTATGCAAAGGTCTTATGCTTACCCAATTGGAATCCTTAAGAGGTTTTCAGCTATCAATTCTGCCATGTCACTCCAGTATTCATTAATCTTTGTGTCAGGCGTGGTATAGGAGAGGGAAACTTAATACTCTTCTTCGAAACTATAAAGATGCATTTCGTGACATGGAAGTTTCTATGTCTCTTGAGTCATCATTGCTGGGGAAGAAGCAGCTACAAAATGAACTTAAGGCTATTCCTGACTACCAGAATAAGCAATCATCAGAACATGATGAATATCATTCAAGCAGTTATGCTGACGTGGGTGAGATTTTCCACCCAATATTATTGTCTCCAGGATAATATTTAGGCTTTGAAGTCTTCATGCTGTTTTTTAGAGAGGATTGTTAACATGCCTCTATGAATGGTCTGTAGATCAATTGCCGAGTGTGCAAATGGAAGTAAAGCTGCGTTGTGTGTCAACAAAAGAGAAAGGAAGGGGTATGGTATCAGACTGTGATATTGAAGAAGCTTCTGTGATACATGTAGAACAACCTTTTAGTGTGGTATGAGTTTTGATACAATGGGTTTTTAACATTGAAGTGGAAGCTAGTCAATTCTAGATATTTTCGTCTGTTACTGAACATGTTTCAATGCTGATGCAACTTCTTACAGGTCATATCAAAAAGTTGTCGGGAAACACATTGTCATTTTTGCCTGAATGGGTTGCCTGCTGATACTGTTCCGTGTCCATCATGCTCTATACCAGTGTATTGCTCAGAGTCCTGCCAAATTCAATCAGTTGGAATGTTATCTACAAATGAGATGGAAAAGCATCTCATTTTTCAGAATCTGCCTGATGATATTGTTGAGCATATAAAAGGCGTTACATCAGCTGATATATGTTATTCTGAAACTGATTGCATTCAAGAACACCAGCATGAGTGTCGGGGAGCCAATTGGCCTGCTGTACTGCCATCTGATGCTGTTTTAGCTGGTCGAGTTATAATGAAGTTAATAAATCATGGGAAAGCAGATACAGATCTTTCTAACCTTCAGGAGATATTAGTATGTCCTTTTACAGTAAAAAATTTTCATCATTTGCAACAGTCACATGAAATCTAATATGGAGTGACTACCCTATGTCTTCTCAACAGGAACTTTCCCATAGCTACTCTAAGATGAATTCAGAGAGCAAGTTGGAGCTGCATCTACTTTCCATAGTATTGATTTGGTGCCTTAGTAAATCTAGCTGTCCTAATCTTTCGGTCTGTGAAGCTTCTGTGTCACAGGTTGTCCTCTACATCTCCCTCCCTGGCCCAGCCAATAGCTCATTGAAGTCAACTTTGCTCTTTAGAAATTGTGCATGCTCTGACATATAAACTTCAATAGATGCTGACGACTTTGGCTAACAAGTTATACTTCATCTTATAAAAGATCAAGGATATCTTGCTTACCATCTTTTGGCATTGGAAATCTAGTTTACCACCTATCGTCGAGATATAAAGTTAATTTCAAATTAATTTTTGATTTTTTTGAGTAAATCTGGCCTCATTGCCAAAAACGTTTACCACTGCAACAATATGCATATGGTTCATTTGATGAGTTCCCGTTATCATAAATTTAGGGAAGTATAGCTGTCGGCATGATTCATATGCAACACGATGTTTTGACATTGTTATTTCTTTTTCTAAATTTTCTTGTTGAGGTGTTGACCACTGTCTGGATTTTTCTTCTCTGTGTAGACTATCATACTGCTGTCACAAATCAAGGTGAACTCTATAGCAGTTGTCCGTATGAAATCCAGCGACGATTCTTTCAAGTGCATCCCATCTGGAAACGTCTCAGCAAAAGAGCCGATTCAGAGTTTAGAGCAGGTTTGTCTAGGCAGAGGTACTTCTTATTAGTGTGTTATTTATACCTCTTCTTACTTAAAGAACTCATTTAGAGCTATGTATCACCACTTACAAAGATGCAATCTAGAGTCAAAGAAATGATATCTGTAATCTGATTATTTATGTTTCTGTTATATTTTGAGCTGCTCTTCTATAAAATTTTGTGAGCGTCCACCAGTGGAGAGCATGACATACATTGGTCCTTTCTCAATATTTCCTTTTTTCTTACTTCTATTATTGTTGTTTTATCCACAGATAAGAGTTGGTCAGGCTCTCTATAAAACTGGAAGTTTGTTCAATCATTCATGCAAGCCAAACATCCATTTGTATTTCCTTTCACGTGGACTTGTTATGCGAACAACAGAGTTTGTTCCCATGGGTTGTCCCCTTGAGCTGTCATATGGTCCTGAGGTATTCTTGGGATCCTCTTCTCTATTTGTTACTTCTGTTCTGTATGATGTATCTTCTGAGTGCTTTGAAGTTCATACCTTTTAAATATCAATATGCATTACAATTAACAGGTCGGAAAATGGGACTGCAAAAATCGCATTAGATTTCTTGAAGAGGAGTACTTTTTCCATTGTCGGTGCTGTGGCTGTACTCAAATTAACATATCTGACCTAGTCATCAATGGGTATTGCTGTGTTAATACAAACTGTACTGGTGTAGTTTTAGATAGTAATGTGGCCACATGTGAGTCCGAGAAGTTAAATCATTTTTCTACTGCTCCAAGAAACCTGGATCAGCAAGTTCAGGTAATCTGATATATTTTTAAACTGATTCATCAGGGTTTAGCTTCTGTGCAGTTCATTATAAGAAAATTACCTGGTGATAATGAAGATGCTCATAGTCATTCTTAAACAAATTTAGGCAGTTCTAATATCTTACTAAACTTATTTTCCGCTGTTCAATTCCTTTTGGAATGGGGCGATGATATGGTATTATGTCCATTTAACTTGCTGTTATCTATTTAAGGACTTAGGCAGTGTTTCTTACCGGCAATGTCACTTATATAGTTTAGTTTGGGGTTTAACTGCGTTATTTCACAGGTGAGGGAGGTGTATGCTGATGTTGAGGAAGTGGCTTCAAGTTTGCTAAGTAAACCGAGAGGTTTCCTTCATATAGAACCTGAGGTATGTTTGAAATGTGGCTCCCATTGTGACATAGAAAATTCTCATGCAGAGGTGAACAAAGCTTGGAATCACATGAGAAGGTACCTAGTGTTTCCTTGAAGCTTCAAGTTAACAGTTAATGTGAAGTTTCTCTTTAACATTTGGATCACTGGAAACTGTCAGGGTGGAAGAGTTGATGAATACAGGACGGGCCAATTATTCTGTATTATCAGATTGTTTAAGGTCCATCGCCGTGCTTAGAACTTTCCTGCACATGTATAACAAAGACATTGCTGACGTGAGTCAAGTTTTCTCTTAGTGATAAAGATCTTAGAGCCTTGTTACTTTATATTCGCATATGGTGATTATGGCATGTCCTCTCCACCCTCCTTCAGAGAAAAAGACATGTCTCACGTTCCAAGATTTTGTTTCTTCAGGCAGAGGATAAGGTTGCTCAGGCGTGCTATTTAGCTGGAGAACTGGTAGATGCAAGAAAGCATTGTGAAGCGTCCATTAAGGTAAAAGCCCTAAATATACTGATACTGCTTGGATTTAGACTACAAAGTGATTCATTGATTGACAAAGATGAGAACAGCGGTTGTGTAATATACAAAAACTACTTGAGCAAACCGATATCTGGGAGACCAAATTTCTCAAACAACCTTTTAAATTTTGTTTGTTTTACATTATCCCAACTGGGAGAAGTGAGATATATTTTGGGTTTGGTGGCAGATTCTGAAGAAGTTGTATGAGGATGAACATGTAGTGATTGGAAATGAAATGGTGAAGCTTGCGTCGATTCAGCTTGCATTAGGTGATTCAAGTGGAGCTTGGGACACAACAAAGAGATTGTCTAAGATATTCTCAAAGTATTACGGGTCACATGCTGAGACTCTCTTCTCTGATCTCCCGTGTCTTAAGCAAGAAGCTGTCAAAGCTGTGAATTTGTCAACTTCTTAACCCAAAAAGTTTGTGTTGTAATAGCTTTGTTAATACAAAAATATTAGGCCGGTTTAGTTTTTCGTTTTCCTTGCCAGAAACGATGTCGTTTTCTTTGACTTAGGGTTTTAACTAGTTTTTTGGACTTCTAAGGGGGTGTTATTGGTTTGTGATTTAAATAGAGTTTTAATGACTTTAATTGTTGTGTAGAATCTGTTGTTATTCAATCAAGATTTTGTTAAACTCTCTTAAAGTTTGGTGTTATTAGTTTGTGATTTGTAAAAAGTCATTTAAAATCTTAATGAATATTGTGTTATTGGATTAAGAGTTTTATAAAGTCATTAAAAGTTTTGTGTTATTCAACTAAAACAAAACAATCTATGACAATCTATGATTGTTAATGAATTCAATTATTGTGTTATTGGTTTATGATTTTAAACACTTTTTTTTACAAAATAAAGTCATGAAAAGTATGCTGAAATATTGAGATTGTTTGGGAGACTCTACAAGATTATAGAAAAACTAATCAACAAAACTATAGAAAACTCTCTAACAATTCTTCTAAATCATTCACTTATTCACTTTCTATGATTTTATTAAAGTCATCAAAACTCTATTTAAATCACGAACACACGAATTTCTTTTTTCTCGGAGCTCAACGCAGACACAACAACAAGCGTCGAAGAGGATCAGCTCGCGTCCGTCTCCTCGACAACTAGAATCGAATTCTCAAGGTGTTGCCCAGTCTCTCTCGATCTTCTTTGGATTGTTTCCATTCTTCGTAACCACATGAGTGTTTCTTAGGACATAACTTGGGTTTAGCGATTACTTCAAATTTGAGTAAGGGCATGCTTGTTTCGTCGTAATTACATATTTAGGGTTCGAGTTTAGTGTAATCTGTGGAAACAGGAGATGCTAATTTGATGTCCCTTCTTGTGATTACGGCGAGAATTATATATAGCTTTTGACTGTGACTCGTTGCTATAGATACACGTACATTTTATGTAACAGAATCTACTAGCTATATGTCTTTGAGTGATTAGAAAGTGAATACTCCCTCCGTATTTTAATAAGTGTCGTTTTAGGATTTTTTTTTTTTAAAATTAGATGTCGTTTTCAAATTTCTATACAAAATTTTTTACTTTTTAATGTTTTAAAACGACATCCAATTCAAAAAAATAAAAATTCTAAAACGACACTTATTAAAATACGGAGGGAGTAATTAGTATGTATCCAGTTGTTAAATCAATTTCTTCTCAATTAGCTTTTTTTTTTTTTTTTTTTTAATCAGAACCTCCTTTAAGGTTATCTCTGTGTGTGTGACTGTCAGGTTTGTCTGAAGATTCCCTGAGTAGAGAAACAGATTTTGTTTTCGAGTTGATCCAATTTGTACGATTATGGCGAGTCTGATGGGAGATGATTGCAATTTAGATATAATGCCTCCAAGGAAGAAGAAGAATAAGGGATCCAATAAGGTAAAAGCTCTAATCAAACCATTCTTCAATGAGATTTTGGAGATTTTAATGCTGATGAGGTTTGGAAATTATTTTCATGGTGGATGCAGGATAAGCTGAATTCAAATAACAACACGGTTTCAAGTAGATCTCGGAAACGGAAACTGAATTCAAATAAGGACACGGTAGTGAGCAAATCTCAGAAACGGAAGCTGAAGAAATTGGAGGAAGATAAGGAGAAAGAAATCATCTTTGCAAAAACCGCCGAGTTGTTAGAGTATGTTCAACGCTTCAATACGAATATTTGATTTTTTTTGTTTTCTTTATTTGAATTTGGTATTAAATTTTGCAGCACGTACAAAATATCTGAGGATGTATCATCGCTATTACAATCGTCAAAAGTTATAGGAAGAGTAAGAAATATTCTCTCTCTTTTTTTTCTTAGAGTACGATTTCTTAAAGATGTTCTGATTGTCTTTTGGTTATTAATCTTTAATTCAGTCAGCCACTAAGCTGGAAAAACGAAGGAGAGCAATGCAACTTTCTAAAGCTGGTGTTGAGACTGAGCATTCTGACGAATCAGTCGAGCGAAATGACGATGATGATTCTTGTATGGACAAACCTACAACACCGGAACATGTTGAAATCGAAATCCCAACTTTTGTAACTTATTCTGAGCAACAACTGGTTCATGAGCATGAACTCGGTTCTGATCTAATGTTTTCTGCTGAAGAAACTAGTAGCAAGCTCGTGGTAGACGACAATGTGGATATGATCCTACAGACAACTTGTCGTGATGATGAAGAAGACTCACAAAGAATGGTTTGTCAACTACGAAAGTTTGATGTTTTTTTTTTTCATTTTTGTTGATTGATAATTTTCAATTCAGCTATTATTGCTGCGTTATATATTTGATTTGATTGGTTCTAATGGGTTTGATATGAAACAGGATGGGACCATTGAGAATGAAGATGTAACTGTACAAGGACCTCGTGTGCCCGCGTTTGTAGTTCATGTTTTGAGACCAGCCGAAGTTGAAGAGACGAGGAAGGATCTTCCGATAGTAATGATGGAGCAAGAGATAATGGAAGCTATTAATCGTCACCCCACAGTTATTATTTCAGGACAAACCGGGTGTGGTAAAACCACTCAAGTTCCTCAGGTCAGTTTGCTTCATTTGTAAAGGTTGTCTGATAGCTGAGTTTTGGTCTCAGTTAGAAAGTCCTTTCTTTATCTAACCCTGTTTTTGTTTCTGAATCTTTCAGTTCCTTTATGAAGCTGGTTTTGGTTCAAAGCAATTCAGTTCTCGAAGTGGGATTATAGGGATTACCCAACCACGCCGTGTCGCCGTCCTTGCCACTGCCAAGAGAGTGGCATTTGAGCTTGGTGTTCGTCTTGGTAAAGAAGTCGGGTTTCAAGTTAGGTACGACAAAAAGATTGGCGAAAACTCCTCTATCAAGTTTATGACCGATGGGATTTTACTTCGTGAGATACAGGTAATTCGCGGTTTTTCGCCTGGTTTGTTTTGTACATTCTGTTCCATTTAAATTATTGTACTTCCGTACTTGATTGTATAAGTTCTTCTGCTGCAGAATGACTTCTTATTGAGGCGTTACTCTGTGGTAATTCTCGATGAAGCCCATGAAAGAAGTTTGAACACAGACATTCTAATTGGGATGCTCACTCGAGTCATCAAAATCCGACAGGAATACTACGAGGAACAACAAACGAGTCTTCAATCTGGAGGCACAGTAACCTCAGAATACCAAATCACGCCACTTAAACTTATATTGATGAGTGCGACTTTGCGGGTGGAAGATTTTGTATCAGGGAAAAGGTTATTCCCTAAGATACCTCCGCTTATAGAGGTTCCCACTCGACAGTATCCAGTAACTATACATTTCTCCAGAAAGACTGAGATTGTTGATTATATCGGTCAAGCTTATAAGAAAGTGATGTCAATTCACAAAAAGCTACCACAAGGAGGAATACTTGTTTTTGTGACTGGGCAGAGAGAAGTTGACTATTTATGTGAGAAGTTACGTAAGTCTTCAAAGGAACTTGTTGTTCAAGCTGCTAAAAGAGATGCTTATGTGAAGAAGAAATGCGATGATGGTTCATTTGGTGGTGTTGATATGAAGGAGATTGCTGAAGCATTTGATGATGGCTCCGACAATCAAAATTACAGGTTTAGCTCGCATGGAGAAGATCCTTCTGAAATTGGTGATGGTAACTATGATGATGATTTTGAAGAAGAAGACATGTATGAGTCTGATGAAGACAGGGACTGGGAAACTGTTGATGACGGCTTTGCAAGTTCATTTGTAGAGGAAGGGAAGCTTGATGCTCTCCGAGCAGCGTTTAATGGTTTGGCAAACGAAAATGGATCCGTATCTGCTGAGCCGACAAAGACCATTGCAGCAGAGAATCAAGAGGCTGAGCAGGTAAAAAACACATTTTCTCCAGGAAAATTACGTGTTCTTCCACTTTATGCGATGCTATCTCCAGCTGCACAGCTCCGAGTGTTTGAGGAATTTGAGAAAGAAGAAAGACTTGTGGTTGTGGCGACTAATGTAGCGGAAACTTCTCTGACTATTCCCGGTATAAAGTATGTGGTTGATACAGGTCGGGTTAAAGTGAAGAATTATGATTCTAAGACTGGTATGGAAAGTTATGAGGTAGATTGGATTAGTCAAGCTTCGGCTAGTCAACGAGCTGGAAGAGCTGGACGAACTGGACCTGGTCACTGTTATCGTCTCTATTCATCTGCGGTTTTTAGCAATATATTTGAGGAATCTTCGCCTCCTGAAATCACGAAAGTTCCTGTTGATGGAGTTGTTCTTCTCATGAAATCTATGAACATTCCAAAGGTAAGACGTTTGTAGCCACCATTGTCAATGTACTAGATCTCTTTCTTCTTTCTGTCTGACTCTTGATGAATCTTTGCGTTTTTCTATTGCTAACAGGTTGAGAATTTCCCGTTTCCAACTCCGCCTGATCCATCAGCTATTAGAGAAGCAGAACGATGCTTAAAAGCTTTAGAGGCTCTCGACAGCAACGGAAGGTTAACACCATTAGGAAAAGCTATGTCTTACTATCCCATGAGTCCACGTCACTCAAGAATGCTTCTCACAGTCATCCAAATGCTAAAAGAGACCCGGAATTACTCACGCGCGAATCTCGTCCTTGGATATGCGGTTGCAGCAGTAGCCGCGTTGAGCTTACCAAACCCTTTGATAATGGAGTTTGAAGGAGAGAAGAAAAACGAGTCCAAAGATGCTGACAAAACCGTCAAGCAAGAAGATAAACAACGGAGAAAGGATCGGAAAGAGAAGATCAAAGCTGCTCGGGACAGATTTTCCAACCCGAGCAGCGATGCTTTGACTGTAGCTTATGCATTGCATTCTTTTGAGGTCTCAGAGAATGGCATGGGCTTCTGCGAGGCGAACGGTTTGCATTTAAAGACCATGGACGAGATGTCTAAGCTCAAAGATCAGCTTTTGAGACTTGTTTTCAGCTGTTGTAAGCCCTCCGAAACCGACGACGGTTTCTCATGGACTCATGGGACTATACAAGACGTAGAGAAGTCATGGAGAATCACCACATCGTCTTCCTCAAAATATCCTCTTCTACAGAACGAAGAAGAACTGTTAGGAGAAGCCATATGTGCGGGATGGGCAGACCGTGTAGCCAGAAAGACCAGAGCGACAGAATACCAAGCTTGTGCGGTTCAAGAACCTGTTTTCTTGCACCGTTGGTCGTCTCTCATAAACACAGCTCCGGAGTTATTGGTCT